TCTCGCGAGCCGTCAAAGGGCGGAGGGAAGAAAGAAAAAGTAAGGAAAAACGAGGAAAAAGAAGAGAAAAATCGAACGAGAAGCTTTCGCTGGAATCGGAAGAGGAAGATTCGCGACGCGGCGAACGGAAACGCTCGTTTCGGGCAACGAGGGAGAGGCGAGTGCAGGTAGGTAGGTAGGCACTGCGACGAGATAGGTGAGATCAATAAACCAGGAGGCGGCAGAGAGACGCGTTTCGCGCGTGGCGGAGGAGCACATATAGCGCCGTTTCTTATCCGTGCGCACTAGGTCAAGTTATATAGCTAAGCTACTCCTGAGACCGAACGACAACGACGCGGAACGCCGGAGGGAGGATGCTGAGCCCCCTACATGGGGTAGCCTCTTGCGTCGAGTTTGCCAACGGATACGTATGTTGGATTATAGCCCGAGAGACTTGCGAGATTTCTTGTAACAGCAGACGCGTCAACAAATATTGATCTTTCATACGAAACAGCGGCTTTCAATTAAGATAAGAAAAATATTTATTGGATTTTATGAGGTATATTTCATGTTTTGCGCTAAAATATCTCGGAATTAACGTAGAAAATAACGTCTGAACTAACAATTCCTAAATATAACTTTATATATATAATGGTTTTTTTTTACAGAACATTAAAAATATTGCGTCGATTAATGTAATCCGTAAATATGAGGTTTCGTTTATAAAAATAAAGTTGAAGTTTTGATCTTCAAATCTTTGAAACGTTTAAACAAAAAATACGTCTTATCTATGACCCTTTCGAAATCATGAAATTTTTATGTAACAATTTTTCATACGCGCAGTTTACACGTTCATATTCAAAGTGTGCTTTAGCAGGTGTATGTGTGTGTTTTTATTAAAATATTTCAAAAATCTTGAAAGAATCTTAAATAAATTGTTGCTTCTGAAATTCTATCACCTTTTTGATATCATATTGTCAGTCTACAAAAAGAGAAATTAAAAAAAAATTAATCTTTTAGAAAATCAATTTGTAAAATTTCTTTATGAGAAAAATTACAATAGAAGGCTTATTTTTATGAAGTGTTCATTTACTTAAAATTATAAAATTATTAAAAAATTATAAAATAATTATAAAAAATAATTATAATTATAAAAAAATTTCCTGAAAATATACACGGATTTGTATTTAAATTTGCAAGTAAAATTCCAAGTAGAAAATTTTTTAATGCAACTTTGAAATATCTTGTAAACCATTGACTTTGAAATATCTTGTAACCATTGACTTTGAAATATCTTCTAAACCATTGACTCTTTGATAGTTGTATCTTAATACTTTAATCTTCAGAGACTAAATAAAGGAATCATATTCAACAACAAATATATAGTTCCATTTAGAAAAATGACGTCCATAAAAATATTGACAGCAGTGACGTCGTAGCTCGCTGTGTAATTTTTATTTAAAATATTTTTCGAAATATAACTGCCAGAACAGAAACTCTATATATTTCAATTAAAAACCTCGAAACCTCGCAAATCTATTGCTTCCGAAATTCTGCCTGAACAGTATGAAATATAATTATTTTATGCCAAATTTATATTAAATATAATATATTTAAATATAACAATTTGTATTAATATTTGTATAATTTATATTAAATTTTATATCGCTTTAGTCTATGACTAATCGTTTATGTTGTTTTTAAATTTTAATATAAGGATATCTCTAATATTTTCTAATATTCGAGAAGAAAAATATGGTTAACTGTGTTCGGGGAAGTATAAATATTCTTTCATAATCATATAATTTCCGTTCAAGCTTATCGTGAAGCTTATTTGAATTTTCCTCGTGATATCGCGACGTTAAATATTAGCAAGATATATGTCGAACAAATAAATCCGATCTTCTCGCACACTCGTGTTACCGATCGCTTGTAAGATATCCTCGCAGATATTCCTTACCTCGACATCGTCGAAGCCGGTGTACTCCTCAACGAGCTCCAGAAGCGGTTCCAGGCACTGCAGAGGTGTAGTGGTACCGCAAGTCTTTAGTATGAGTCTGCGTTTAGACACGAACATGCTGCTCTCGCTGCGGACATGATAAATAATTGTACGATTAGCCGTTTTGCTGACGGCGGAGAATACGTTTCTAATCTTGCGCGCATTTCCGACCGTTCCCCATTCGACATGAATGAAAAATACGCTGTCAATTCTTACGTAATATTTTGTAATATTTAACAGGACGTTTTCCCCGAGGTGTTCGGGGGGGGGGAGGAAACGTGCTATTAAATATTACAAAATTTTTATTAAAGTCATGTTATAAACAAAAACGTAGACTGTTCTACTATTTTGTTTTTTTTCTGAGTATCTCGCGTAAAAACTGAGCGCAATTCCCTGAATGAATTAATGATTAAATTATTATTTATTAGTTATTTTTGTTCTTTGCAATTAATTTAGGAGATATTCATAACCAAAAATTTTTTTGTTATTTATTAGAAAAAATATTAATTACAAATATTTTCTTTCATAAAAATGTTAAAAATCATTTTGTTATTTTGTTTATACTTTAATTTTTTTATAATCCTGATCTATTGGATATTCCAAAGCGCATAAATGTAAGAAATATGTGCTTTTCGATAATTTTTTGTTATTGTAGGATCCGATACATTTTTAAGGGATAATTTTGAAAATTTGACCTTTCTGTAAAAAAAAAGATGAATAGAAAAATAGCATTCTAGGTCAGAAAAATTGCTCCAGTATTGCCCAACTTGATGGAAACACGAAAAGCTTATATATGACTTGATAAAATTGATTACTTGATTAGATTACTCATACAAAAAGAATTTGTTCAACTCAACGGAAGTGAGAACTATTATTATGTCTGGTCTAAAGACTTGGCGGACATTCATCAGAATGGAATGATAATGAAATTGCCTCTAGTTGTGACATCGGAGATCTTAGAGAAGTTATTAAACGGAGATAATAGCGCGCGTATTTGAGATTAAAAGAGAGTGACGTGCATTTGTATCTCGTTCCTTTTTTTTTTCTTTCTGCTTTAATTAATCTGCCCCGCTAATTGTGGCAGATAATTATGACGTTATTGGAGAGTACTCGCGCTATATGAGCGAAGGTCAGCGAAGAATGAAGGTTATTAAAAGATATTTGCTTGGCTTCTGCCGATGTTGCTATTTCTGAACTGTGCTTTACTATTAGGCAGAAAGCGACATTACGCGAAGACAATTCGCATAATCCGTAAATATCCCGCATATTTTTCTCCGAGGATGCACGTGTACGTCCCGTTACGTCAACGTTCATTATGCCGACATGTCGTCGCCCGATAATTCATTCATTTACAGATAACTTTGTTCTTTTTGATTACATCAACGACGAACGCTTGAGAAGAAAAAAAAAAAAAGCATTTCACTTTTAGCGCGATAACTCGTGCGCGGAATTGATTGTACATTCGCGCTAATGACTGGAAAAATAGAAGAAGTATGCAACCCGCTTATTTATTAATCTTCAGTATATCAGGATAAAAACGTGGAATTTTTTTATGTCCTTCTTCAGGAGAATTTTATTCAATTCTAATTAATGAAATTAATAGAAAAAATAATTATTTTTTATTTATTAAAATAATAAGTTTCTCGATATCTACTGTATCAATTTTTCTTTCTTAATTTTTAATATATTTATAACAAAGTACATCATATTTAACATACATTTCAGGAAATATGAAATATCACGATTGTTAAAAAACTATTAAATCAAGAATTAGATTTAATTCAATAAAATTACGAATGTCAAATTCTGTATTAATTTTAATGGTTTGTTCAATATCATATAAAATTTTCTTAAAAATGCTCGAATTTTAGTAACCTTTGAATATCACGTGAATATAATGCATTCAAAAAGACCCGCGATTACTTCAAAATTAAACGTAATTTGACTCATTTATTAATTTATGATGTTTGCAGATTTGCACATTTTCGTTTTTTTATATATTCGCCAAATGGATGAGTAAAAGCCGGAAAGCCTTCTGTAAAAATTAATTTAAAAATAGAACCAAAGGTTATCGGCGATAGACGTTGACCCTAAGATTCTCCGCGAAGACAACGAGAACGATAATGGAGACGCTTCTTATGAGTGTCTAAATAAAAACGCGATAAATGTACACTTAAAGTCGATAACAGAACATCGAGCATAGCCACGTAACGTTACGCGGACGTGAAAAAAATTCCTACTTTTCCGGTCAAAGGAGAAATACGCGAGAGACATATCCAATTAAATAAATGGAATTCAAAATGCAACAAAATTGCATTGCTTTAAATTCAAAGAATTAATGTGTTGCTTATTTATTAATAAAAACAAGCTATGATAAATTTAGTAAAAAATTTACTAAAAATAAATACGATAATAGAGTGTATAATAATATTAATAGAAATGATAAATAATAATTTATAAATTATGTAGATGTTAAAATGAGAGAGAGAGAGAGAGAGAGAGAGAGAGAGAAAGAGAGACTTAGAAACTTTATAATTAGTCATATAGTTGATAAAAATCAATCTTTGTTTTAATAATAAATTAAATTATGTATTTTGAAGAAAGGATTAAGCAATGGCTAAAATGTTAGGTTTCATTTCATTCTGAAGTAAAAAAGAAAAATTTTTGAAGATTGTTAAAGAATATGAAAAATATATACACAATTATGATAATTGCTTCAGTAATGTAAGGGAATTCATGTCGCAGTTATGATTTTGCCAATTGTATATAAGTTTTTATCAGAACGATATATGATGTATGTATGAATCATGTATTACTTATTTAGCGAAAGTGGAAAGTCTTATCCAAATACATGTCTTATCCAAGACATAACATTTCTACTTTCGGTAATAGATATAAAAGTTAAATTTATTAAAGAGCGATGAATTTCTGTCTCAATTATATCAATTTTTCATTGAAATATCGTCTTTTCGTAAGAATTCGATTCTAATGCCGTGTACATTCGTTCCTTTATTAATTTTTAATAATCGCTTTCTTCTATATCCACTTAATAATCATGAATATTGCAAATTCTAATACCGCAATTAGGTAAATTGTAAACATAACGTTTGACATTCTCTTCATACAATTTTTTATTCTAAATAAAATCGTTTGGATATTAAAAAAATTAAATAATTTCTTTCTAAATAGAATGTCACAAAAGCAAATGATTTAATTATTTAAATTTAATTAAATTATTTGGACAATTTTTGTATAATTTTTAATTCTCTACATTCAATAACAGATTTAAATGTCTCTCTTAATTAAAAAAGATTATTAAATTAGATAAATAAATAATAAAAAATATATAACAAATAAATATTAAATAATAAATTTATTTCACAGAAAAATTTCACGAAATTCTAGTGGATGTTTTAACTTCACAAGAAACCAATCTCATTATCTCGAAGATATCGATCATTTACAGACTCGCAAAAGGAAAAGAAAGTTGAGCCGCTTAGCGCAACGAATTCTTCTAACAGGGGAAACTGAAATTCGCAGAATTTCCAAACTAGACAGTTTAAAGAATGCAGTAGAGAGATTACTTTTCAAGATTCCTTAGTAAATTCTTTTGGAATCTTTAACGTCACCTTTCAAATCTACCTAGAAGATTAGTGTTATTTGTCCAAGTTGCCCTTTTGGCCTTTGTTCTTTTTCTTATTTAATCTATGTAGGTTTATCCTTCCAAAATCTTTTTTATCTTGATGCCACGTATTTATATTATACTATTTCTAGAGCTATTTATTTTCGATTTTCAAAATTTCAAAGGAAATTAAAAATTTTTTCTTTTAATTTTGATAAATCGAAGTTTTGAAAATAAATCTTTTCAAAAATCATCAATTTAAAACAAAAAAATTTATAATTCCACAGTTTCAAAATTTTAATAATACTTTCCAAATTCAATTAACGATTTACCAGGATTTCAAATTTTTGACATTTAAATAGAAAGCCTTCGAAAGAAAAACACTAACTAATTATTACAGCACAGTATTCTTATTACAGTTACAATTTGATATTCTCGTTTTTAGAAGAATATTCTTTCCGTTATCATCGATATTAGGGAAAAATACTGAGAAGATTCGTTCGTGACTGTTCTCGACCCGAAGAGAACGATTCGCGCCCGAAGGGTCAAAATGCGCGAAAGTGTCACCTTGACCATATTTATTTATAGGGATGGATCGGTGGTGGCACTGGGTCGACCCGCGCACCCTCAAATATTCTGGAATCGGGGCACGTCGCGTCCCATCCCGTTTCACCCCGTCTCACCCTGCCCCGCCCCGCCGCGTCGCGGCCGGCCGGGCCGGGCCGGACGGTGCACCTCTTCTCCATCAAAACAATTCGATATATCGATTGTACCACACCGGCACACGGGCGATTGAGTCTCTCTCTCTCTCATCCTCCTCTCCTCTCCTCTCTCTCTCTCTCTCTCTCTCTCTCTCTCTCTCTCTCTCTCTCTCTCTCTCTCTCTCTCTCTCTCTCTCTCTCTCTCTCTCTCTCTCTCTCTCTCTCTCTCTCTCTCTCTCTCTCTCTCTCGTGCTCTCTTTTTCCTTTCCTTTCGCGGAAGCCCCTCGGAGCACCAACCCGCTCTCGACTTTCTACGCGCGTCACGAAAAATTGCGCCGTTGCTCGCACCCCCAGAGCACCCGCGCTCCCTTCTCGTCCATATTTCGACCCGACAATTAGCCCCGCATTCGTCTAATGAGGATTACATTCGTCGTTAGACCGATGAGATTTAACAGCACAAAACTGAGAAAACGACAGGCTCCGGCATACATTTGTTGTACAAAGTTATGTCGAATTAGACCGAGAGTTGAAGTTGATTCTTAACCCTTACTGAGTAAGACATCGGATCTATGAATCTCTATTTGGACCCATGTGTACTGCCTATATTACAGAAATAAGATTCTGCTTCACGTCGAATGTAATAATTGTGAAACATATGTCAAACGTATGTAATAAATAACACATTTCATATGTTTGTACTTTACAGATTCGTTACAGGCAATAAAATATATTTTTAAGATTATACACTAACGTGATTTTTTTTTTAATGTAAGAATAAATATGCGTTCTTTGCGAGAAACTTTTTAATAAGTTATCTCTTCTTATTTGCACAAATGCTATTTTATTGAATAAAAAATTTGCAATTATAAGAATTTAATCAAACTATTTATTCCGAAACACGAAGAGATGAAACACAGATTTGAATTTAAATGGATCCGGAATCTGCCGTCCAAGATGTTAAGCTAAATATAATAGAATATTTTATTAATATACAAATAGAATTGTAGCCTAAACTTCATCAGATTAACAATAAATATGAGTTTGTGGATATTAATTTTTCTTTTTATCTATTTATTTATTCGTATAGGTCACCTTGTGATACAAGCAACGTGTTCAAGAGATAATTATTTACAAATAAGTTAAAGATAACATTTCAAATGTCAGATATTTAAGATAAGGAATTAATATTAAATTTTTCCCTGAAAAAACCTTACAAGTTTAAAAATATAGAAAATTAAAAGTCTCATTTTAAACACAAAAAGAGAATTCATCTGAGTTTATCTGGATTTATGGAGAATTTAACTTAGTATAACTGGATTCGGATCGAAATTAAAAATCTCTATTAAAGTCTACTTAAGATTTCCTGAAAAATATGATTTTTAATAATTTATTTTCTCATCAAAAAGAGACATCGAAAATTTTATTTTAATATTATTCTCGTTATTTATTTCAATTTTATTTCTTGCATTTTATCATACGAGAACTATTGCGTATCACGATATCTTTTCTCTTTAACAAATTTTCAGAGAACGGAAGAAATATATATGTTTAAAATGTTAAAACAGCTGGAAATACGAAGACTACTTTGCAGTGGTACAATCCGAGTTTTGTCGAGCTGAACGAAGTTTCAACCGACATATGTCAGTTTCTGAGAACAAAAATGTTGAAGAATCCGAAAGAATCTTGGGAAATAGACAATATAATTTAGAATAAAGCCTTGCGGATCTAATTTTCAAAATCACACATTGACGCAACGCTCCGTATTGCGCAGATTTCCTGCGTATAAATCTTACAAGATGTTTGCCGTTCCCAATCGGTAGAATTGCCGTAATTAAATGTAAAAATCAGATAAGATTTACGAGATTAATGAAAGGAGGCCGCTCTTTTATCTGTTCAGTCTTGCGAGATCAAGTCATGATTTTCTGTGATATAATTTATAGCCCGAAAATTTTCGCAACGGTATTCTTTCGGACAAAACTCTTGTTAAATCCCAAGGGACCTTTCTTGACCGGGCCAACTTGACCCTTGACGATCTTTATTGATTTCGGTTCGAAACGATGTCACTTACCTGAGAACATAGGCGTCCACTAGATCATTACGACAGAAGCTGATGATCTCGCAACGGACTATCTTCAACAACGATTCCCATTTTTGTCTGTAAAAATAAATCACGATTCGATTAGCGAGCGATTGTTTGCTGAAATTAATCAAAATTGGCATTGAAAAAGAAAATTGCGAGAAATTGTTCAGAATTTTCGAATATTATTCTGCGTTTCGCAAGCAAGTTTCTAAACTACAGAAATTTTTTTACATAATTTCTTCTCTCCTTTTCACTGTTCAGAAAGTTTATTTTGATACTTTTTTAAACATTTGATATTTTGCAATTTACTTGTTCAGTGAATCAATTTCTCGTAATAATAATTTATATTAAAATAAATTTAATGAAATCGAAATTCCATATAAACAATAAATATATAAT